CAGTTGGTTTAAATTGGTTTTGATATTGAATAACGCTGCCAAACGGGAAATTTTTCATTGTTTACTTCTATAGAGCTCGTCAGTAAAGAAAACAAGACAATACAATTGAAATGAGTTAAAGTTTCAAACTGTCAAACTAAACTCCGCCACTTTAGTTTTTTTTTTTTTTTTTTTTTTGGAAAGCCGCCTTGTTATCGAAATAATTTCCTCTTCGATGACCGTAGGGAGGTTAGAAGCAAGGTTAATTCAATCTTTTCAGTACCAGTTAAAACTTATCAGTTATATTACGAGCAATCCCTCATGTTTTGCGAAGTCTGTCTCGCGAGTTAATTGTTAATTTGTTAATTGATGTCCGCGTGTTGCGTAAAGCCCTGGAAGTGAGGCGCATCAAAAGTAGCCTCGGCGCGGGGCAGTGCGCTAACCTAATTTTTTTTCGCTGATTATTTTTAGACGCGCTCACGCAACGGATGTAGCCGAAAGAAGGTTCTCATAAGCTACCAATTAGTTACTATTCACGTCTAAGAAACTTTGCTGCTGCGTCGGTGGGGTTTACAAGATAATCTGGTTTTATCGACTGAGTTGATAGAGTAAATTGGCCACGGTTAGCCTTTCACTATTCCCTTGATCCGAAGAAGGACAAACGATCGCAATGTCAGCTTTAGAAGCTCTTTACGGTGACCAATTTACATCATCAGCTCAGCTGATAAAACTAAATTATCTTGTGTACACACTAGTTTTGTTAAGTGCCTGGTTGTCATACCTTTGAATTTTCCAAAAGGAGCTGTTTTACGTCGTTGTCCTGAATGAATTTCACCTCTTCTTGCTACAAGTTTAAAAGAAAGCATCCGTATTAACCCCTTACCCTCTGACATCAGTATGCATATTCTCCATACTGTTCTCTATACATTTCCTAATGTGCTGAAAAGGGGAATTTGTTTCATAATAAGTAACTTCTTCAGTCGGTGATCATTTCCTTATGTGATTTAAGGTTGATATTAAATGGAGAATTTAGACTCCAGACAATCTAAGAGTTCAAAGGTGTTAATGAATCGCTTTTTAACCTCTCCAGATTTCTTTAGCAAGACATCCAACTCATCGACTCAAAGACCTATCCCAAAACATGGTACCGTAAGCAAGTAAGCATAAATTACAGCGTCAAAAGAATCCCGTACCTTCCTGCAGAGTTCAGCTTGTAGCTTTGAAATTTCATTCTTGCTATTTTCCAGTCTGGTTAAAAGAAACATACGTAGTTCTTACATAAATACTGATAGAAAAGTAAGAAGAAACGTAAGTTTGCCGTTTTTTGTAACCTTACTTTTGATTAAGGTGACTCAGCTCATCCTTCTGATATTGACTGGCGTCAAGATGCGACCTGAGATCAGTGTTAAACAAAAAACAATTTTAAAACAAATTTTAAAAACGGCAAAGTTAGAGTGTATACTGTAAAATACCGCTTATAAGCCCCACCCTTTACACCCCTCCCTTATGAACCCCCCTTTTATGCCTCCCACTGACAAGCCCCCCACTCATAACCCCCCTTTTATGCCTCCCACTTATAAGCCCCCCCTTTATGTCCCCACTTAAAAGCCCCCCCCCCCCCATAAGCCCCCTCTAACTTTTCTTGTTTTGAGAGATAGGAACTCTGCTGTGAGTTAGACATCAAACTTTTGATAACAGGAGAGCAAAAATTAACTTCAAGGGAAGAGTCTGAACTTCCGCTTTGCTACGTTCCACTGTTGCTCGTGTTATTAGTTTTAATTCTATTCCAAATAAATTGAAATTAATTTGATTAGTTGTGACGTTTTAAAGCGTGGTCAAAAACCAGTAATTAGCACTTTTGTAGCTCGTTTCGAAGCCCTTTTTCTGGTCCGCTTGTAATATAAGTGAAACAATCGAATAAGGCGTATGTATTGAAAGTCAACAGACGTTCACTTACTGTATTTCCATCCTGCTTGTTCTGAGATCTTCCTTCAGTCTCCTGACCTCAATATTTTCTGTTCGCTTGCCCACCTCTTCAAGTTGTCTGAAAGTCAATGAAAACAAAACTTACTCAAAGACTTTCAACACTGTAATGGCATGACGTTTTCCATCAGAAAGAAACGCAAAGAATCTGTTGGTGTTTACCAACTATATTAGCTATCAATATCACTGGTTCGGGCTGCACAAATAATGTTGCTAAAAATACAAAATGAGACGTCGATGTCCATACGAGTCATTCTCGATTTACTTCAAATGATATTTGCCAAAAAAATTTATCGAAGTTTTGTGGACTGTCTCCGATTGGCTGCATGTAGTTCTGTACATGCGATAGCTCAAAATTGAGTTGGGCATATGCCACTCTACAAAATACCATAAACTTGTCTGTCTTTATAAATCTATTCGCGTACTCTCGCGAATCTGATTGGCTACGCAACTCGGTATCTATTCCCTGATAGACAGTGAGCAACCTAAAAAAAGGCAATCTTAAACAAAACTAAACACGAAATCACGAGTCTGTCTTGTTTTTGAGTTTTTAGCTTTTAATAGATTCATCTTAATACTCTCTCTCAATAATTTCTATGTATCATAGTTGAAAGGGGCGAAGATATCGATAGCTCATAAACTACGTTTTAGATTGGCGGGTTTCTTCCTCATCCTGCATATAAATAAAAGTATCAGTGACTGTGTTTCTCTGAAGTAATGAGCTACGTCCTTTCTCGAAACTATTTCTATAGAATTATACCTGATGATCTCATCTTTCATTATCAAACTCTCTTCCATTTTAGACATGTCCTCTGAGTGCTGCCTTTGGTCGTCCTCTGCTGCCTGAAGTCGAGGGAAAAACATAGGTCTGCAATACGTACATAAACAAATCGGCTACTGATAAATCCGTCTCCTTTTAACCGAAAGACAAAGGCCGTAGCGCAAGGCATGAGGAATCGGCTTCCGAAAAATTCCCTACACCGCATTAACTATCGACTTGCCTAATCAACCTTCTGTAGGCAATAATAATAATAAAAATAATAATAATAATAATAATGATGATGATGATGATGATAATGATAATAATAGCAATAGTAGTAATACAATAATAAATAAAAAATAAAAACCTACTCTTATGAGATCATCTCTTGATTGTAGTTCTAACCGCAGATGGGCATTTTCTTCCTCAAGACGCTGTGAGAGAAACAAAAATACGAAAAAAAAGAAAGAACGGAATTCATTCTCATATGTATGTGGCGCATAAGTAAAATGGGACATATTGATTAAAGACGTTTGGGAGACCAAGGCTTAACCTTTAATTTTAGATTTACTGGTTATTTCTCCCCTCAAGCCCCGATGCCTTTCCTGTGAATGAGTCCTGGGTATTTAGTCATCTATTAAACCGACGCTTCTAAGCTCACAAGCCTGAATCTTCATAAAACCTGTTCTTCTGGATAATATGTTAATATTAAAAGAAGGAGTTGAAAGAAGGTAAACACTATACAGCTGGGAAATAATACTACCTGAAGAGATGATCGTGTCTTCCTGAGTTCGTCTTGCACCTTGGCAATATCAGAGGCTTGTTCTCTATTGGATGCAAGAGCTTCCTCTAATGAACTCTTCAACCT